TTGACAAGCTGGAACGTGTGCCGAGAAGGGCGACCAAGATGATCAAGGGTCTGGAAACCAAGCCTCACAAAGAACAGTTGAGGGAGTTGGATATTTTTAGCCTGGAGAAGAAATGACAGGTCATCTTCAAATATTGGAAGGGCTGTTACATGGAAGATGAAGCAAGCTTGCTTTCCAATACTCCAGAGGGTAGGACCTAAACCAATGAATTCAAATTACAAGAACGAATATTAGGAATGGGCTACCTCAGAAGGCGGTGGACTCTCCTTCATTGGCAGTTTTTAAGCAGAGGTTGGATGGCCATGTCATGGCTTCTTCAGCGGTGCTTGCTGCCTTGCCAGGGGTTGGACTAGATGATGCTTTGGGTACCTTCCACCTCTACAATTCTATGATTCCATTATTTTTCCACTAGGTGGCTTATGGCAGGCACCCCCAGACTTTCAGCATTTTGTAGAAGGGATTTGTGGAAGGAGAAAATTAGGTTTTCGCAATTAAAGTGGATGAAAGGGCTCTGTCACCCTGGCCTAGAGCAACAAATCCACAAAAACAAACAACAGAACAGAATTTTTTGTGGTTTAGAAAGTGAGGGGAAATCATTGAAGACTGTAGAATGGGCAGATGATTAATGGGCAGCTGTATCAACAGCCCACAAGCAAATCAGGAGGAATGTTCAAGAAACCGGAATCTATCTAATCTCCGCATAAGCTCTGGGCAAGCAAAGCAGGATGGATAAATAGTGAGTCCTTACTTAGAGGCAAGTCCCTCAATGGGTCTAGCTTCTTTCTCTCTGAGGTCTGGAAGCTTCCAAGGCTGGATGGGGTTATATAAATATTTCCTGGAATCTCCCATGCACAGAGAGCCTCTTCAGAGAGGCTCTCCAACGTTCTGAACAAACTCTTGTTAATTAGCCTTAATTAATCATGTGAACAACAAGCCTCATTTCCAAATCAAAGCCAAGCACCATGTTAGAGCAAACGTCACTGCCAGGTATGTTTTGAACAGAGAAGAGTTTCAAAGCCTTGAACCATCGGGGTGAGTGCATACCCTTGAAAGGCCAAAATGACACTATTCAAAAAGGACAGGCTCAAAAGCATAAGAGGAGCTTTATCACTCCAAATGTCCATCTTCTGCTAACATTGTGGGGGAATGAAACCACAGCCTAATATAAGAGCAACATAGAGTTTCAGGATTCAGGGGTAGACTGCCCCTGAATGTGAATGTTCCATCACACTTAAAAGCCATTGATAGAACTCTCCTTCGCCATGGATTTGTCTAATTGCCTTTTGAAGACACTGATGCCATGGGAGTGGCTGCTACCGCCCCACAGCTTGTGGCAATTTCTGTAGTCCACTTATGCACTGTGGGGAAAAGGATTTCCTTCTGTCTGTCCTAAATCTACTGCCAATCAATTTCACTGGAGAGCTAGGATTGCAAGAAAGGGAGAGGGGGAAAGCTCCACTCCACCCTGTGCATTTCATGTCTATGGTGTGTGGTGTGTGGTGTGGTGTGGTGTGGTGTGTGTGTGTGTGTGTGTGTGTGTGTGTGTTTTTTGAAGACATCTATAATCTGTCCTGAGCTCCTGGCTGTACTTTTCCTTTCCTAGCAAGTAAACACAGCGGACTCCATCTCATATACCTGGGATGAAGAGCAGAGAATCCAGCTCAGGTGATGCAGCTTCTGGGCAGGTGTGAGCCACAGAACTGTCCCACCGGCATCTGCAAGCGGGGCAATGTGAGAACAGGATGCTGGACAAGATGGGCCATTGGCTTGATGCAGCAAGGTTCTACTTATGTTCTTGTGAGATTGCACCAGGCACATTCACTGCTCCCAGCGTCAAAATGTAACTCCCAAAGTCCACTGGAAGTTTCTGCTGCTGTCACATCAAGCCCAGGAATCAAAAGAATTTGTTGCAGCAGCTGCTGCCAAGCAAAGTTGCCTTCTTAAAGAGGGACTTGAAGGGCTTGGGAGAGAACCCTGGGAGGCTTGGGAGAGAACCCTGCAAATTATGAAAGCTGTCTAGATTTGAGTTATACTCCCTTTATCATCTTTCTATGAGGAGGAATATTTCTATCAGCAAGATTCACCACTCATTCTGACACTTCCTCAGCAGGACGTAGCAAGAATAAAGGCAGACCAACTTTTCAAGAGAGGAGTTGTCAATATTCCAGCATTTAGTTTCTGGATGAGCACCAAAATCCAACACATGCAGCCATCTGTCCAAATCTAAGGACAACTGTAGTTGTCAAAATAATGATAATAAAGGGGGATTTTGTGACCTGCAAATATGTGAAATAAAAACAGCACTTGCAACCAGGACAAGGAAAGGCAGGTCTGAAGCTCTCGCTGTAAAGCTGCCCCACTTAATCAGCATCAATTGTCCCAATTTCACTGAAGAAACTGGGACAATTGAAGTTGATTAAGTGTAGATGCTTTTGAGCTGTCCCAGCAGGTGGGATTAATTACATTTTACCTGGATATAAAATGTCTGGGAGAGAGAGCAGATGCAGAGTGTTGCTCTGGTGATCTAATCTGGCTTCAGACTTGCCCTTCAGCAACCCAGTAGGGACAGGAAGCGAAGCATAACTTGCGGCAAGGACCATGCAGACTCTTAATTGAAATTATTAGAGTTCAAGAGAAAAACACTCAATATTTCTCTGATGAAAATAGAGACGTCCCATTCCATAATGGTAATTATACTATTTATACCACACACATCTTACTGGGTTGCCCCAGCCACTCTGGGCAGTTTCCAGCATATATAAAAACATAATAAAACATTAAAAATACCTTCCCTGTACAGGATTGCCTTCAGACAGCTCGGGGGTTGGCTAACTCCATACCCTCCAACATTTCTCCAGTGAAAATAGTGACATCCTAAGGAAAAGTGGGACATTCCGGGATCAAACCAAGATAGCTTCTGTAAAATCAGGGATGTCCCTGGAAAATAGGGACACTTGGAGGGTCTGGGAGGGTGTACAGCAGGACCGATGGAGGGTGCAACCCGTGGAGAATTCCAAGGGACGGGGGGGAGGCCATTTGGCTCCTGGCCAGATGTTCCCCACACTTGCTGTAGCATTGCTCTATGGCCTGGGAGATCAGGGTTTAAATCCCTACTCAGCCAGGAAGTTCTCTAGGTGTCACAGGAGCCTGCCAGTCAGTCAGTAATCACACAGTTCAAAGATGGAATGAAATCTTTATCAGCAAAAACACAGACTTGGGACTCGGCTATACAGCTGCAAATAAAACGTTTTGAATGTGTTGTAAAGTGCAATATACAATTATGACACTAGATGGCGACTGTGAGCTATAGCAAATTCAATGCATTTTTCAAAACAATTTTCAAAAAAGCATTTTCACAGCATTTTAAACATGTGTGTAGATTCCACCTTGGTTGTGTGTCTGGCCTAATGAGCGGAGCAACTCATTTCCAGTGGTCTTCCTCTATGAAAATCAGTTGCCAGGAGTGACCGTCCCTGCCTCCTCACCAGGACTTTCCCCAAGCAATTGGGGACTACACCTGCATGCACGCTCTCCGCCACCCTTTTCATGCCTCTTCTGGTTTTGGGAGACAAGGGGGGAGGGGAGCTTGCTGCAGCAGGAGGGGAGACACTCCTATTTACCAGTCTGACTAATTCCTGCCTCTTGGCCTCCCTCCTCCCACACTCCTGCTTCAGCTTCTGTCTCTGATTCTGAACTTCTCTCTGCCACAGACTCTCCCAGCTCACTAAGCCCTGATACATCTTCAGCTTCTGACAACTCTTCCTCCCTGGCTTCTCCCTCTGACCACTCATCATCATCCCTTGGCACCTTCTGCCCTTGGTGGTTCCCCAGCTGGTTCCTCCCACTCTTCCTCTGCATCCAACCAGCCCATGTTGGGTGTGGGTTGGGTGTGGGTCACTGGGTGTGACCTTGGACCAGTCACTATCTCTCAGCCTAACCTACCTTGCAGGAGAGTTGTGAGCATAAAATGGGAGCGGCATAACCTTGCATGCTCTTGAGCTTCCTAGAAGAGATGGGATATAAATGTTTGATGATGCAAAGGCAACCCTCTGCTATTTTCCTCCTAGCACCTGGTATTCAGAGACACACTTCCTTGAAACGTGAAGGTTTTATTTAGCTATTGCGTATGAAGAAAGCTTCCCTCTCTGGCTTGATCTTTATTATTATTATTTTTTCCTAATATTTTATTAAGGATTTTCTTGTTTTACAGAAGTAAGTGTAATGCCTCGTATTTTTTTTCCCATGTAACATTTTTACAAATCCATTTCATTTGTTGAGGCATTAGGGGGAGAAGAAAGGGGAAAGAAAGGAAAAAGAAAGGGGGAGTGGGGGGAGGGAAGATGGGTGGGGGTGGGGTCGGGTGGCGATGTTTCTATTATGCTTAATGTATGTAGAGTTTGGTGTCAGCGTTACTTGTGTTCCTTTGGTGGTGAGAGAGGTTGGGGTTGGCCTAGGGCGTGATTGGCTATGGTGATCTTTGTTTTCGTGTGTGAGTGAGGTGGGTGGGTGTTTTGGATCAGGTTAGCCATATTGATTTGTATGCTGTTGGTGGATTATTGTCATTGTCTTGTTGGGCTGTGTATGTGATAAAGGGAGCCATACCGGGTGAAGGCGTCTTCTTCTGTTTGTCCCCGTGTCAGTTTCAGTTTATTAGTTAATTTTTCTAGTAGGGCTGTTTCCCATACTATTTGGTACCATTGGTCCATGCTTACTCCTGACAGGTCTCTCCAGTGTCTGGTTATGGTGTTTCTGGCTGCCTGGCTTGATCTTTATGACTTAGGAGCAAGTCTGAACATGGGTGAACCATCTTCAAAAAAGAATGATTATGTCTGTCGCCTGCTCTAGAGTATTCTGGGGAAATCTAGAAGGAAGAGGTAGAAGCAGCCCAGAACAGTCTGGAAACTTCACCTGAAAAGACAGGAAGAAAGCTCAGCTGTGCAATTATTCATCATCAGAAGAGTGATGCAAGGAGGAAAAGAAAAAAAGAAACAAGCAGGAATGGGGGGGAGGAGGGAGGACATCTGGCAAGGATGGGCTGAATTATTTTTGATAACAATGGCCTCCTTGGAGGCTGCACACAAAAAGCATCAGTGGGTGTTGAGGATCGGAGGCTGCACAGCAGAAAAGATACCGATAAATGGAGAGGAAAAAATGGAGATGATCATGCTGTGTGGAAGGAAGCCCTGCTGATCTGACGAAGAACAGACGCTTCTTCTGATGTGTAGGAAAGTAAGGAGAGGGTGGGCTGTACTAGAAATCAATTCTTCTGCTCAGGCCTGGAGGGGGAAAACAGGAGGAAACTGAGGTTTGTTGCAGAAAGGAAGACCGGGGTGGGGGTTAGAGAGAAGTGCCTCGCTGCAGAAGAGTCACTAACGCCCTTGCAATCTTGATGCTTTGGAAAAACATTTCTGTGCACAGGGCTTGCAATGTGTACTTATCTTCAAAATAAGCCTCTGATAAGGCTACAGGGAGAGCCTGTGACTTATCCGAAGCTGCTTCCCCTTTCCAGCAGGGATTTGAAGAACATGGGGCTTCCAATCACAAAACCCCCTACTCTCGATGACACATATGGTTACAGCTACTAGATGACTCTTTTGTTGTTTGCAATTTCTGGTTAAATGCCTAGAATTGTCTGGTGGAAGTTGCATCCCTGGCAGTTTCATGGTGAAGAAATGGCCTCCTGGTAGCTGTGACTCTTTCCGCAATTTTAAATGAGATACCCATTAAATGAGATACCCACCAGTGCTTTGATTAAGGGCCCTCTCCTCCTGCTGAGGAAAGTGGGCCAATGTGTGTGTTTTCAAAGCAGCACTTCTGCCCTTGGAACAGGGAGATTTATATATTTCAGAGTTTTTTTGCTGGAGTTCATGGAGAGGAGGAAGTAGTCTTGCTAATAGGATAATAGGGTCAATTCCCCACTGAGCCCCTTTTGAGTACAGTGGTACCTCAGGTTAAGTACTTAATTCGTTCTGGAGGTCCGTTCTTAACCTGAAACTGTTCTTAACCTGAAGCACCACTTTAGCTAATGGGGCCTCTTGCTGCTGCCGCGCCGCCAGAGCACGATTTCTGTTCTCATCCTGAAGCAAAGTTCTTAACTAAATCACGCTTTGCGGGTGCGCAGAAGCGCTGAATTGCGGCCCGTGCGTGTGCACACGTGGTGCTGCAGGTTGTAAACACTGCGCACGTGCCTCCTGCACGGATCACGTTCGCAACCCGAGCTTCCACTGTACAGGAATAGTCTGGGAATCTGGAGGCCCTGTCTTAACCCCCACAAACCCCTCTTCTGCAAGCTCAGTTGCACCCACACTTCCAACACTTGCATGCTGCTCAGGTCACTCCTGAGCAGGGCCAGGTTTAGGTTTGATGAGGCCCTAAGCGACTGAAGGTAATGGGGCCCTTTATATAGCAGGCGGGGCCCATTACTTACATCATAGGAGCTTACACAACACAAAACTCTGTTGCTGTATGTAGGGGGTTTTTTTATCTTATATTTTGGAAATGTACATCCAGTTTTTTCCCCCTTTAATTTTTTGGGGGCCCTAAGCTATAGCTTGTTTAGCTTATACGTAAATCCGGCACTGCTCCTGAGGATCTGATTTTTGCCTCCCCTTATGCTCTAATGTATATATTTATAAATAAAGCAAACTTTACAAGGACACTCTGCTGTTCATTCATCCAAATGGAAACAACATCCCTTTGGTTACTGCCATCTAGTCCAACGTCCTGCAATGCAGGAATTGCAGCTAAGGAACTCCTGACCAATGACCATCCAACCTCTGCTTAAAAACCACCAATGAAGAAGAGTTTACTACCATTCTACTGTCAAATATCCTTTGCCACCGAAAATTCTTCCTAATGTTTAGTTGGAATCTCTTTCCTGTACTTTGAATACATTGCTTTGGGTCTTCCCCTCTGGAGCAGCAAAAAACAAGCTTGCTCCATCTTTCATGTGACAGCCCTTCAGGGAAGATGAAAATACTGGGGAGACATTCCCCTTCTGTTAATTCTGCTAATACTACTAAGTAAGTTATCATCTGTTACTTTGGCTCTTTCGCCTTCCTCCTCCTCTTCTCATCTGTGTGGTGTGTTTTTCTCTCCTGCTGGTCTGTGGCTATTTATTCCATTAACCAAAAGAGGGATTATTGCTACTTTTAATTTTTGATATTGTCTGCTTTATGTTGTTAGCTGTTTTGAGCATCACCATTGGAAGGTAGGGGAGGAGAAGTGGGATAGAACTCTTGTTGTTGTTTAGTCGCTTAGTCATGACCGACTCTTCATGACCCCATGGACCAGAGCACGCCAGGCACTTCTGTCTTCCACTGCCTCCAGCAGTTTAGTCAAACTCATGCTGGTAGCTTCGAGAACACTGTCCAACCATCTCATCCTCTGTCGTCCCCTTCTCCTTGTGCCCTCCATCTTTCCCAACATCAGGGTCTTTTCCAGGGTCTTCTCATGAGGTGGCCAAAGTATTGGAGCCTCAGCTTCATGATCTGTCCTTCCAGTGAGCACTCAGGGCTGATTTCCTTAAGAATGGATAGGTTTGATCTTCTTGCAGTCCATGGGACTCTCAAGAGTCTCCTCCAGCACCATAATTCGAAAGCATCAATTCTTCGGCGATCAGCCTTCTTTATGGTCCAGCTCTTACTTCCATACATCACTACTGGGAAAACTCTTAGTACTGTACTATGTACTAGAACTCTATAGTTCTATAGTACTGTATAAATAAAATAAATATATTTCATGCCTTCATCATAAAAGGCAACAGGTCAACAGTCCTGTCTGAATTATTTAAATTCATATTCATATCCTGCCTCACTAAAGAAAATACCCACTCCAGTCAGTTTACGATATCATAAAGCAAAACAAGAGAATATATAGTTCAGGGATATACGCTCAATAGTAAAAACGGGAGTAGCAGGGGAGAGAGAAATCAAGCAGACCAACATTTACAGAAGTAGAACAACACAAGCATGTAATACGAGCCTGCTGGACCAGGCCAGTGGCCTATCTATCTTAGCATCCCTGTTTCCACAGCGGCCAAACAGGTGCCCACAAGCAGGGCCACTTGCCCCACCTGCAATTCCCAGCAAATGGTATCCCGAGGCATCACTGCCTCCAACAGTGGAGATAGAACACAGCTGTCACGGATAGTCTCAGCCTCCTTTAGGGCTTTAATGGAACTTGCACGAATGGGTTAGTTTATTGGGTTCTTTTTGTGTTTATTTTTATTATGCATTTTGTCTTTTTATATTGTGAATTTATGTTGTAACCGCCCTGAAACCTGCAGATATAGGGCTGTATACAAATTAAATCATCATCATCATCCCCCCAGGTGTAGGTGTCCTGAACTATGGGGTACCTGGCGGCAAGTCCCACTGGTATCCACAATCCCATGGCAGATGCTGGTGTGTAGTCCAGCAGGTCAACAGGTCCAAAGTCCAGTCAGGCCAGGTTTCTGCCTCTGCAGCTGATTCAGGGGTCAGAGCACACAAGCACAATGTCAAAGAGAGTCTTGGAATATCCAAGAAGTTGAGCAGACCCAGCCCCTCAGCTCTGTTTCCCTTTATACTTTGCCTGCTGATTGCAGCACCTGGGCTTGATGAGGCACATAACCCTCACCTGTTCCAAGCCTACTCCAGCCGAGGAATCACACACTTCCTCCCAGAGCTAATGAGCCCCACCTGGCCAGCTAGTGAGCTGGGCTATGGGCCTTTGTCTGCTTCAGCGTCCTAGAGTTTACCTTCTGCTCCTTGCACCTCAGAGCCTGCTGTGTTTGAGGAGACGGGGCCCCTCTGGCTCTGGTTATGGGTCTTGCTGCTCTGGTTCCTGTGAACTGATGCCCATCTCCTCACAATCCTCTGTTGCCTTGTGAGTACTTTCTACACCAACCTCTCCTTCCCCATCCCCAGCTTGCCCCAGTGTGTCCCAGTCACAGCTATGCCCCTGCTGGGGTCCTCTTCCTCCTCCCCACTGTCTTGTCAGTTCATGACTGAAACAAATTCTGTTGGGAAGCTGAATAATATTTTAGAACCCTTAGCAACTGATAATTTGGATAAAGTCAACTGAATATATGGATGTGGGTGATTAATTAGGAAAAGGGTGGGAAATAGTTGCTTGTGCACCTGGCAGCATTTGCTTATATTTGTGTTGCGACTGCAGGGCAATGTCCTTTGAAATGCATATTTTGTCCGTGGGCTGTTTGCTGTGGTTATATTTTTACTTTGGGGCTAAATGCGCCTGCAAAGGAGCAGCTTGGGCCAGGGGTGTAAGATGGCAGGCGGTGTCTGTTGCATTCCATTGGAAGTTTTCAACGGAGGTTGAATGGTCATTTGTCAGGGATTCTTTAGTTGCGGTTCTGGCATTGCAGGGGGTGGACTAGCTGACTCTTGGGGTGCCTTCCATTTCTAGAATTCATTCTGTATTTGTCATGGTCAGTGCCGTTTCTGCTCCACTCTGCTTCTGCCAAATATTACTTCATACACCTTGCCATCTGCTTTTTAATGTTAACTTTCATAACTTTTTATGTAACTTGTGTAACAGTGGTTTTTTTGTTTTTTTTTTAAAAAACTTCATTATGTATCATTTGTGGACTTAAAATGACAACAACAATTACAGTGGTACTTCAGGTTATATACGCTTCAGGTTACATACGCTTCAGGTTACACACTCCGCTAACCCAGAAATAGTGCTTCAGGTTAAGAACTTTGCTTCAGGATGAGAACAGAAATCGGGCTCCGGTGGCGTGGCAGCAGCAGCAGGCCCCATTAGTTAAAGTGGTGCTTCAGGTTAAGAACAGTTTCAGGTTAAGTACGGACCTCCGGAACGAATTAAGTACTTAACCCGAGGTACCACTGTAGGTGAACAAATACCAGTTATATTGGCTGATTTCTGTCCCTGACCACAGATGAACGCACGAACTGCAGCAATTTCTGCTTCCTTTTTCCATTTTTGCTGGAATTCCCTGATGCCCCTGCTTGGGAGACCCCAGCACTCCCCCAGCTTCCCCCTGCTGGCTGTGTAGTATGAAAGATGGGCAATGGAGGTGAAGCCCATAAAAAAAAAAAAAAAAAAGGATAATTGTGTTTCAGTGAGATGGTTCCACACTGAACACCTGGCTGTGAATTCTATAGCTTTCTTGCATTCTCTTTTAGAAATGGTTGCGGAAATGGAGAGAGAAAACTGAGAGCAGAGGCCACAGGATCTTATCAGCAGTCCACAGACTGTGCCCCTGCCAACCATTAAGTGACCCCGGCAGCCTCGCTCAACATCCAGTTTGAAAGGCTCTGCACAGGGTGCTGGAGACCTTTGCTTGCCCTGTATACATAATCAATGCAATCCCTCCTGTGAAACTGGTGGAAATGAAATAACTCTTGTCAAACCTGTGGTGATGGAGCCAGAGGTGGAGATTAGGAGGATTTTTCAAACTGACTTTGGTGTGGGATTCAGTTGCTTACAGGGACACAGCCGGCAAGGGGATGCATTAAAGCATCTACCTTTCCAGTTATTCTTTGACAAGTGTGTGTGTGTGTGTGTGTGTGCGCGCGCGCACGCACGCACGTGTACACACACACACACACACACACACACACACACACACAAACACAAACACACACACACAGAGACATGCCCTCCTGCAAGAAGGCATCAGAATTAACAGCCACAAAGCAGAATAATTCATGAAGGGGGCATTTCAAAGCAAGCCGGCTGCAGCAGTGAAGCTCCAGCACAGCACTGGGGGCACCAGAAAGGTAATGCAGCCTAATTGAGAACAGTGAGAAAGAGGAGACCCAGACTGTGGGGAAAAGGCAAAGGGGGAATGGAAAGTTTTTACATGGAGTAAAAACTTCTGGGTGCTAATTGCAACAGAAACCTTTACCCCAAGTAAGAGCAGTTTTGGAACATTGGAAGCTGTCATATATCAGGTCGGACGCTTTTGGCCATCTAGTCCAGAACTGACTTTCTTCCAATTAGCTCTCCAATGTCTCAGGGTTGAGAGAGAGCTTTTTCATCTGCTACCTGATCCTTTTCAGTGGTGCTTCCTCCTGCTCCCGTCCTTTGAGGAATGTGCTCCCCAAAGAGAGCATATTGTCACCTCCCTTAATATGTTTGGGGTTTTTTGTGCCAGGCAAAGACAGCCCTTTTCTTTCAGCCAGGTGCCTGATGGCTGACAACTCTGTTATCCTTGTGGGTCTTTTTAAAAAACAACAGCAGCAACAACAACAACAAACCCCACAGGTTCTAATCTGAATTTATTGACTGTTATTTCCTAACAGCTAATTTACAGCAGGGGGAGCCCTTCAGTTATCACACTCTTACAACAGACTGAGCCAGCCAGCCTCCCTGTGTGCTTCTGCTGTTTTTCTCTCAGCCAAAGGGCACTCCAGATTTTTCTGAGGGCAAGCCACAGATCTCAAAAGCTAATTCTATGATTTATTTTTGTAAAAAAAAAATCAGTCACAGAATATCCATCTCAATCTGCCCGCAGAGACCAACAAATCCAAACAGAGTGAATTATTCATCACTGAAAAACTCATCTTGGTTGGTTTCTGTTTGGACCTTGCTTTTCTGTAGGCACACCTGCATATGCAGGGAATTCGGTTTTATATGATTATGAGCTTTCCCCCCTCTAATGGAAGTTTCTAGTCTAGTCCTTTTCAGGCTGCAAATATAGGCTGAGAGATGGTGATTCAGCAGGCAGGGTATAAAGGTATTTACAAAACTGTGTCATCTGTAACATTTATTCAGGGAATAAAATTGTGGTGCATTTGGAAGTTTGCTAGGCATGGAATAGTGGCATGTAAAGTAAAATCTCTCTCTTACACACACACACACACACACACACACACACACACACACACTACGCACATTGAGTCTGGTCCTCTCTAAAGGCGAGCAGGAGTCACAATCCCTACAGGCATAGCTGTCAACTTTTCCCTTTTCTTGCGAGGAATCCTATTCGGAATAAGGGAATTTCCCTTTAAAAAAGGGAAAAGTTGACAGCTATGCCTATAGGTCTTCTTCAGCTCTGAGTGAATATAGAGAAGAGGTAAATAAAAAAATTGTCCAGTAGCACCTTAGAGACCAACTAAGTTTGTCCTGGGTATAAGCTTTCGTGTGCATTTACACTTCTTCCGATACCTTTTCTTGCATGCACACGAAAGCTTATACCCAGGACAAACTTAGTTGGTCTCTAAGGTGCTATTGGACATTTTTTTAAATTTTTTAAAATTTATGTCAACTGTGCCAGACCAACACAGCTACCCACCTGAATATAGAGAAGAGGTGACAGGGCAGAAGTTTATAAAATTATACGTGGGGTGGAGAAAGTAGATAGGGAAAAGTTTTTTATCCCTATCACATAACACTAGAACTTGGAGACATCCTATGAAGTTGGAAGATTCCGGACAGATAACAGAAAGCCCTTCTGTTTAAGCTATGGAACTCACTCCCGCAGGAGGCAGTGATGGCCACCAATTTGTTTGGCTTTTAAAGACGATTTACCAAATTCGTGGAGGATGCGGCTATTGTGACTACTAGCCAGGATATCTTCGCAACTGGAGGCAGCAATGCTTCTGAATCCCAATTGCTGGAAACTATAGGAGGTTTCCTTGAGCCCTGCTTGCTGGCTTCCCACAGGCATCTGGTTGGCTACAGTGGGAACAGGATGCTGGACCAGATGGACCATTGGCCTGATCCAGCAGGGCTCCTCTTATGTTCTTATGGTGATATCACCATGCCCATAAGCCTGGAATACCCTCCACTTTTCACTATATGACTCAAAGCTTTTTTACTTTAGGTTAACCTGCCCACTGGCTCTGCACTCAGAACGAGATTAGAAAACCCCCATCTATAAGTGTGCTCTGAGCATGGCGAAGGGGACGCGCAGCTGCCTTGGGTGCTGGAGTCCCACATGGTGGTGCCCCTGTGGGCACTCTGCCCACCCCTGCCACACAAATGAGGAGAAGCCGTGGCAGCTTCCAGAGAGATCTTGTAAGATCTTTCTGGAAGCCGCCACCACCACATGACCCTGGCAAGAGAGGCTTCAGCTGCGAGAGGCAGCACCTTTCCATTTTGCCTCAGGTGGCAAAACGGGACAGGTCTGTTGGGATACTGCCAGGGAGACAAAGTCCATCATGACTCCACCTCGCCTCCGGACGTCCATCGGTCTCCCGTAGACACACAGTATCAACAATTAGCGACACGAGCTCCAGAAATAGCTTGCCACATTCCAGAGCTGATGCACGCTCTACCAGCAGATAATGCACAGCGAAAGATGGACTCAGGAGAGCATTATTTACAAGTTTATTCAGTGTTGGTCAGAACAAAGAAAACATGACTGCCTGCTTCGGTGTCTCAGGCACAGAGAGAGAAACGAAAGCAATAGACAAAACATAAACTTCCTGTGAACAGGAAATACGCAGACTCTGTGACTCACAAAGCCTGCTCCCTTTTAAGGTGGAACGGAAATATCCTAACAAGGTCGCACCTGAACAGTAGAACAGGGTAGATGAAGGCTGTTAGAAAGGGGTGGACTACCCATGAGGGGCGATGAAGCCATTTGCCTTAGGTGGCAGAGAATCCAACCCCGCCCCCTCCCTCCTCACAGTTGCTCTGCTTCCAGCCTTGCAGGGGCTTTACCTGCACTGCCGTAACAGTATGGTTGCCCTCATCAAGGGGCACAGTGATTCGATTTGGAGCTGCTTGGCACTGCTGCCACCATCTTCCTTTGCTGCCGGCTGCAATGCGCTCCCTCTTTCATTCCATTGCCAGCTGCCTGTGTGCCCATTCTGAGTCACTGGGCCAGCTAGTCAGCCAGCTGGAAGGGGAAAGAAAAGAAAAACCAACTGCCAGTGATAAATCACAAAGAGCACTGTGTCAAAACACTTTAGCTCTCCAGAACAGCTAATTAATATGTAATTTGCACCAATGGAGCATTTTGCAAGTGATCAAAGCAGTTACCAGAGTTACAGGTGTTTTATTTTTTAAGGGAGAGAGAGCAGAGAGGGGGACTGTCAAATAACCAACAAGGGCAGCCGCAGCACAGTCTGGTGCCCTCCAGTCACTTTGGACCACCCCCTGCAGCATGGCTGTTATACAGAGAAGCAAAGGGAACTGCTTTATACTGAGTCAGGCCTGCCTACACTGACTGGCAGCAACGGCTCTCTCATCTCTCATTTCCAGGCCCCCTCTTCTCTATTTGATCTATGCAGGCATGTCATTGAAAGTTGTTTGGAAGCTTCAGCTGGTCCAGAATGCTGCGGCCTGATTGCTTTCCGGGACTGGTTACAGGGAACATGCTAGTCCCCTGTTAACTGGCTCCTGGTCTATTTCTGGGCACAATTCCAAGTGCTGGTTATGACCTATAAAGCCCTATATGGCTTGGTCCCCACTACTTGAAAGATCATGTCTCCCTATATGAAACTCACTGAGTGCTAAAATCTTTGGGTGAGCACCTTCTCTTGGTTCCATCAACAATGGTTAGTTGTGCCACGAAAGAGAGCCTTTTCTGTGGCTGCTCCCGTCTTGTGGAACTCCTTCCCAAAAGAGGTTAGATTGGTTCCCTTGTTATCCTTCTGCTGGCAGGCTAAGGCGTTCCTCCTCTTCAGACAGGCCTTTGGAAACTAAGATGCAGACACGGTTGACCAGTGGACTGCTATCAAGGAAATCAGTATTTTAATGCTGGTTCTGGATGTGTTTTATTGTATTTTAACTCATTTGTTTTTATTACTCTGTTTTCAGTAATGTTGTTTTTAATTGTAAGCTGCACTGAATCCCAAACTGGGAGAAAGGTGGCATATAAATGTGGGATGAAAGCATCCAAAATGCTAAGGAAAGGGTTAATGCTCACAAGGGCTATAGAACTCTGTGATGTCATGTGCCTGAGGCAGTTATTTTCAGTTGGTTCAGTTATGGCAGTTATTTACAGTCTAACAGTTAGAGCAGCATACATTTCAAACATTCTCATAATCCTAAAAACCATAAAATTACACATCATGTGCTCCAATCTCATTAAAAGGAAGGAATATATTATATTTGCAACAATATGAAAGGTTAAAATGTACATGTATTCCAAACTATGTTACCCACCTCAAACACAACTCACCCATGCGCCTCACTACCTGTGTGTTCAATAAAATTGCCCCATACTGCATAGATGTTACTGCTTTTCTTTTGGCCTCTTGCTACCCACAGGTTCCATGTTAGCTTTTCCAACAAAGCTGTCTGCCAGACCGCTTCATACCACTTATCCATGGTCAACAGTTGCAATGGTTTCCATGTTCTGGCTATGGTCGTTCTCGCCACAGTCAATAAATGGGTTATAAGATCTTTATTTCTAATTCTTGGTGAGTCCTGACTGTATATATTAAGCAATGCCAGTCCTGGGGACATAGGAACTGTCTGCCTTGTAATCAAAGACATTTTCCCATAATTTTTCTATTTTTGAACACTCCCATCACATATGTCTGTATGTCACAATAGTGGGACACCCTCTCCAACACATAGGAGAGCTGTTGGGTTTTATATAAGCTAGACGTCTAGGTGTTAAATACCAGCCATGTGAGATTTTGAGGGCTCTTTCTCTTGTCATTGACAAAATAGATTTATACAGGGCTTTGATCCACAGTCCATTCCATGTCTCTTCCTCAATTTCTAAATTCCAATTTGATTCCCACCATTCTCTCATATTATTCTGGGGAGGGAAATATGCCTCTATAGTTGATTTATACAGGGATTATATTAATCCTTTTGTTGCTATATTTTCTTCTACTATTATTTTTTCATATGATGTGAATTGTCGCGTGGATTCAGTTTTAATCTTAGAATTTATTAGAAATGACCTTAGTTGATTTCCTAATAGCCACGGTATTTGAGGATATCCCAATTGGGTTTGTATCTCATTAATGGTAAGCGGCCTTCTGTTTTTGTAAAAATCTTTCAGTTAGTATAATTCTTTCCACGCTTTTATGTTATAGGTTTTATATTTATTTGTAAAGATTGGGTGAAACTGTATTGCCATTAAGGGTGATGTGCCTGGGACAAAGAGCTTTGCCCATTTGGTCCAAATGTTAAAAGTGTTCAATCTGTGTAAGGAATTTAGTTTATCTTTTAAAAGAGGTATTACTTTTATACGGATACCGTCTATTTCCACATTCTCCAACTTATTCCATTGGATTCCCTCCTTAACAGACATTAGGTCTAGCATATTGCTCAGCTGACAGGCATTATAATAGCTATTTAAGTTTGGAAGTCCCCATCCTCCAACAGTTGGGTGGTGATACAGCAGGGATTTTTTAATGTGTGTTCCATCTGATTGAAATATGAATTTATTAATTTTTCTTTGCTACTTGGACATGTGGGCTGGTGGGATCCACACTGGTAGGGTTTGGAATAAAAATACAATCATATCTTGGTTCTTGAATGGAATCCGTTCCGGAAGTCCATTCAATTTCTGAAAACGTTTGAAAACCAAGGTGCGGCTTCCGATTGGCTGCAGGAGCTTCCTGCAGCCAATCAGAAGCTGTGGAAGCCGCATCGGACGTTCGGGTTCCAAAGAACATTTACAAACTGGAACACTCACTTCCAGGTTTGTGGCATTCGGGAGCCAAAACGTTTGAGTCACAAGGCGTTCGAGAACCAAGGTATGACTGTAATAACTTTGGAACAATCATCATTTTGGTTGTGGCCAGTCGGTCCATAATATAAAATTTCATTTTCCCCAAGTGCCACATATCTGTGTTTATTGTTTTCCATACGTTGCCATAATTTGTCTGATATAACTTATTTAAATTTTGAGTAATCAGAACACCTAGGTATCCGAAACTTTTCTTAGCTATTGGGATTTAGAGAAGGTTTTTTGAAGCTGGGGGTGGGGGGGGGTGGGGTTATGAAAGAACAGTACATCTGATTTTTGAAAATTTACTCGTAAGTCCAGAAATATTGGAGAAGTTCTCCAATTCCAGACTCAATAGTTTTCCGGTGTTGATTGGCTCTGATGTGCATAAAACAATGTCATCTGCATACAGACCCAGAATATATTCATTTCCATTGATGATTAGGCCCTTTCCTGCCAGAATTTGATGCGGTCTAATTGCCAAGTGTTCCAAGATTATGGCAAATAATAAAGGCAAGAGTGGGCATCATAGCTTTGCCACGGTCAAATTGACATTTTTGCAAGTCTATATTATTTACCCTAATTTTGGCAAATGTGGTGCCATAAATGTTCTCTAATAATCCAGTGGATTTTGGGCCAAATCCAAACTTTATCACTTCAATTAAACACCTGGGTTCTACACATTCAAATGCTTTTTTTTTTTTTAATGATATTTATTGGAAATTTTTTTTTTATAGTTACAAAAGAAAACAAAGTAGAAAAAGAAAAAAAGCAAGAACAAAGAAAAAAACAAACCACATCCAACAATACAAATTCAAAAAAACCAACAAAAATACACCACAAACATTGAAAAACAAATCCATTATTCTCAAATCCTCAACTGTCATTACCTTCTTTCTTTGACCTCCTCCTCCTCCCTTTTTTTGTATCCTAGTTGTTAATTGTCGCAGCAAATCCTTTCCATATTTCATAATATTCTGTCATTACATTACCTTAAACTATTTTAATCTTATCTTACTATAAAAAAACTTAAAACTTAAATCTTATTTTTACCAACTTCTCATAACCATAATATTCTTACATAATTCTTTAAACATTTTTACTAAAGCCAAGTAATTTCATTCCAACATTTTTCTAACATTCATCAATTTTATAAAACAATCCTAGTAGTAAAATAAAAATAAAAATAAAAACAATCCAATCTTCATCCAGCGTCCCTTCCTCCTGGTCCCGGGTTTTGTCAGTCCTTATTATCCCATCGATCTAGCGCATTAACCTGGTAACCTTATATCCGAGGCCCTTAAGCCTCTTCCATGTCCCTTCCGCAGCTCTTCTTCATATTTGTAACTGTATTTTCCCTTGTCTCCTGCTCGTTTCACTCGTGGGAACTCCAGCTTAACAATATTTTTGACCCTTCTCGACAGATCAGCCCCTTTTCCATAATCCACACTGAATTCCATGTGGTATTTAAGAACATGTTTCAAAATCCCTCCAAAATTAGGAGCCCCCACAATCCCAAACATCTCACGGCCCATTGCCAGACTTGAAAAGTCCAAACATCCCAGCATAGGGGGGTCTATCCAGCCCCCCATTACCAAACCAAACCAAACTTTTTCTTTCCAAATCTGGCTTTTTCCAAGTTCATTTGTCAAATCCGAAAGCTCATATTCCTGTTGGGCCTGTTCTGTCAGGGCACACTCCTGATTTAATTCCTGGGTGGGCTCCACATATTTTCCCACTGCCTGTTCAAAATTTCCCACTGCCTGTTCAAAATTTCTAATCGAATCAGCCATCAAATTCGTCTTCTCATGTAGCTGTTCCAGTAGGGCATTTGTTTTATAGAAAGCACACAACAGAGCTTCTGAATACATTGTCCTGCAAGGTCAGATGTCTATTCCCACGACTGTAATCTGTAACAGCTGCAAGCTCCCCAGAGTTGGTTACAGTTTCACAGTCTCCCTCTAGGGGGAAAACTTCTATTTGTTCTTTCTTTTAAAGACAAGTCTAGCAGCAAAGTTTCCTTTTTCAGATATTTTGTCAATATTTGTTCCTTAAAGAAGCGAAGGGGAACAATGGAGTCAATGTTTCTCTTCTTATAGCTATCTGTCAAAAACGTTGTCTCTGGTCAATGAGCTTCAAAAAACGTCAGTCCTAACACCCCGCTCCAGGATCAGGACGGTGGAAAGTTACTTTACTTTACCCTCACTTCTGCAGGTTTAAACAGTCCGAAAAATCCCCCTCTTCTCCTGCTTCCGAAGGGGTTCAACAATTTTAAATGATGAAAGTTAATCTTTTACAGGCGATTTTCTGAGCTCTAGTTTGCCATGTCTTTGCTTTAATCTATCTACAAAGAAACGGAAGGCTGACTTCCTGTTTAGACCTTCCCGCTTCAGCGCCAAATTAAGGTAAACTTTTAAGTCCAATTTTCCTTTCTGCTCACAAGTCCTTATTTAGAGTCCAATTGTCCGAGTTTAGGTACTCACGGGTGATTATCTTAGAAGCCAGATTGTCCCAGGAAAAAGGCAGCGCTCTCCGGCAACGGCTGTGCGGCTTCGCTCCATGGAAGAAGCAGTTGACTCTCAGCACCGCGCCACTTTCCCCTCTTCGCTCCGGAGCCCGTTAATGGGTTCTTTTGCGGGTTGGGGGGGCGCTAAGGGTGCCCGCCGAGTCCCATGGTCACAGGCTTCATCCGCCTGTGATTTTTGAATGGGTCCCCACTTCGCCGTAGCGGAAAAGACCCGATTCCCGTGGAGCTGGTCCCTCCAGTTCAGAGGGAATCCGCCATTGCCGATGGCGCCACCCCGGAAGTCCCACATTCAAATGCTTTAAATACATGCAGTGATAGACAGGTTAGTGTTGAAGTTCTCTGCTTGCTGTGGTATATTAAGTTCAGTAATTTTCTAATTGGGTCTGCAGGTTGGTCCAGGTAGATGTATTTCCCAATAAATGCTTTCGTTCTAGTAACCATTATTGTTGTAAAGATATTTTTTTTTAATAAGATATTTATTGAAATTTTCAAAGTGTTACCAAATAAAATAAAAGTAGAAAATACAAAATAAAAATAATTAACAAAGTAGAAAATGAAAAAAAAACCCCTTCCAACCGTATGAATACAAATTCAAAAATAAGAAAAAGTGACAAAAAGAAAAAAAATACAAAAATACATCACACACAATTAAAAAACATTTAAAAACAAATTCATTATTCTCATATCCTCAACTGTCATTACCTTCTTTCTTTGACCTCCTCCTCCTCCCTTCTTTGTATCCTAGTTATTAATTATCCCAGCAAATCCTTTCCATATTTCATAATATTCTGTCATTACATTACCCTAAACTGTTTTAATCTTATCTTTCTATAATAAAATAAACCTTAAAGCTTAAAACTTAAATCTTATCCTTACCAACTTCTCATAACCATAATATTCTTTCATAATTCTTTAAACATCTTTACTAAAGCCAAGTAGTTTCATTTCCAACATTTTTCTAACATTC